GCATATTGAGTGTAGCACTTTTACTGCATTGTCTTTTAAGATTTTGGATAGCTCAGCTGGAATGCTGTCACCTCCACTAGCTTTGTTGTTGCTCAGACTTCCTAAGGCCCATTTGACTTCACATTCCAGGATGTCTGCCTCAAGGTCAGTGACCACCCCATCGTGGTTATCAGGGGCATTAAGCTCTTTCTTGTATAGTTCTTCTGTGTAATCTTGCCACCTCTTCTTAATCTCTTCTGCCTCTGTTAGGTCCCTGCCATTTTGGTCCTTTATCGTGCCCATCTTTGCATGAAACGTTCCCTTTATATCTCCAATTTTCTTGAAGAGATCTCTGGTCCTCCCTATTCTATTGTTTTCTTCTATTTCTTTGCACTGTTCATTTAAGAAGGCATTCTTATCTCTTCTAGCTATTCTCTGGAATTTTGCATTCAATTGGGTGTATCTTTCCTTTTCTCCCTTGCCTTTCACTTCCCTTCTTTCCTCAGCTATTTGTGAAGCTTCCTTAGACAGCCATTTTGCTTTCTTGCATTTCTTTTTTTTGGGGGACGGCTTTAGTTGCTAGAGTATAGATCTTTACAGCATCGGACTTTCCTTTCACCACCAGATACACCTGCAACTGAGTGTCCTTTCGGCTTTGACCCAGTCGCTTCATTCTTTCTGGCGCAACTAGTAGTAGCCCTCCGCTCTTCCCCAGTAGCATATTGGACACCTTCCGACCTGAGGGGCTCATCTTCCGGCGTCCTATCTTTTTGCCTTTTGGTACTGTCCATGGGGTTTTCATGGCAGAGATACTGGAGTGGGTTGCCATTTCCTTCTCCAATGGATCACGTTTTGTCAGAGCTCTTTGCTATGACCTTCCCGGCTTGGGTGGCCCTGCACAGCATAGCTCATAGCTTCATTGAGCTACGCAAGGCCCTTCGCCACGACAAGGCAATGATCCATGAAGGAGAGAAACATCCTTCCTTAATCCAAAATTCATGGAAGGTCAGTTAAATAGGTTTGGGGCTGATGGTTTTGAGGGGCTTGGAGCCATTTTTCTTTTTCTATGCACTGTGCAACATGCAAATAAAAATCTAGCACATTAGGACAGTCTTCTGTTTCCTTGAGTGCTAGTCTGCTATTTGCAGACTGCATGTTTTTAAACACAGGGAAGTATGCCTCTGTATCCTCCTGAAATAAAGCAGTCCTTTCTGCCACATTAGGATCTTTCTCCTCCCTGGCTAAACCAGGCCTGAATCACAGCAGAGCCTTTCTTCTCAACCATAGGATTTGCTCCATCTGAAGGTATAGGGTGGTATCCAAGGATAGTCTTCTCAAGTTCCATTCAGTTCAGTGGGTCTACTCTAAACAGGGCCAACATCAGATGCTCTAGCATGCTCTCCTGACCTACTCTCAGTCGGCTCATTTTCCTTTTACATGCAGCTATTTTGACCCCACTGCCACTGCCCCAAACCCAGCTGCTGCCCCAAGTAGCACAGAGAACCAGGCAGTGGGTGCTGAGCAAGCACACGCTTCCTCATTTTCCAGTATGTCCGGGAGGATGAGGCTGGCACAGAAACTGCTGTGGTGTGGCAGATGCAGTGGTACAGTCAAGACCATAAAATCTGGAATCTAGTGACACTAGGGCAGCGATTTGAAACTTTTCCGGTCCTGGAACCTTTCTGAAGGCATTTTTTCCTGTGGAAACCTAACTCTGTCCCTGATTTTTACTAAGCATTATGAACCCGCAACCTTCTTCCTTCTTGCATCTGCTCCTATTGCCTGAGTGCTTTGCATAATGGAGGTGTGGAAATAAAGAGAAAACATTTAAAATACAACAAATGCATAAAGTGATTATGTGATAATATCCCAAATGAATTCTTTCAGCAATCCCAAAACTATGCAATAGAATCCTAGGAACTAAATGATGTGAAGCATTTGTTTGCTGCTTGGACAATCAAATAGTTGGTTTCATGTGGTTTAATTTTAAAATACATTTTAAATTTGATTTTTGAGATTTTTTTGTGGAACCCCTAGGAGGTTTTTGCAGAACACTAGGGTTTTGCAGAGCAGCTTGGGAACCGCTACTCTAGGAGACTCTGTAGATGTTAGCATTAGCTCCTTCTAGTCATGCTCGGGGTGCTGCCCCAGTAGTGGAGCCAAACGCATTTGGCAAATCCATCAGGGATCCACCATTTTGAGGAGCGGGTCAATGGGCACGTATTGAATTTTAAGGCATTGGCATCCTCACAAACTGGGGGGCTTCTTCATAAAATGGCTGCCAGTGGGGGGCAGTGGGAAAAGACTCATTTCCCAGAAGGCAAAGTGGTAAAGCTAAAGCAAACGCCCCAAGAACCCAGGTACAAGGCTGTTAGGGCCTGAGCTCCAAACCAAATGCATTCCATTGACCCCAAATGGAGATGGCCCTGGAGAGCAGCCCTTTTGGTTTGCAACATGTCAGCCTCTGTTACCTTTCTGAAAGTTAAATCTTAAGATAAAAAAACATAAATCAGGAGAGGTAAATATCTTGATGGGCACATTCAGGGTACTCATGGGAATTATATTGAAGACCCACACAATAGATCAACTGGCTCTAGAAATTGATGCCTGTGGCTTGGCTGCTGTGAAGTCTCCTCCATCCTTCTTGAAAGCTGGACTGTGGGTTGTAGGATAGACCATTGCTGGACTGGTCCAGCACTGAAATAGATGCAGGACGAGGTTCTTCTCCAGAGGACGCAACCTTGGAAATGAAGATGTGTGGCTGCTTTCTACAAAGAGCAGTCCGTGCTACCTATTAGCCAGGGTGACAGTTGAACACACACTTATGCAATGCCTTGTGCCAGGACTAGTTCCTGACAGCCACATGTCAGAATCCTGCTTTCTCAGGGAGGTTGTAAGCTAGCCGTCCCACTGGGGGTTGTAAAACCTTCAGAATTTCACCAGGATAAAAGCAGTGGTCAGGAGAGATAAGGTGACAAGTGAGGAATGAGGTCCAGATTGAAAGACAGATCAAGCAGAGATAATGTATGCTTGCCTTTTCTCTTCCCTCCACTAGACATAAACCTACATCCTGTGTGCAGCAGGGACAGGGGCTTGCCACAGGTTGCCTGAACCTGATTTCAAGTACAGAAGACTGCCAAGAACATCTGATTTCCTTTTAAAATGTCTGCAATCGAGAAATGTTTCATGCTCCCACTTTGCTAAGAAGCCCCAACTATCACTTCTGCTGTTCCCAGCTGCTCATGCAACCCTCTCTGCAAGGTATGGACAAATAACAGTTACCAGCGAGGCCGAGTGTGCATATCCTCCATTTAATGTATCTCAAATCTAATTGACTGCTTTACTAGATCAAACAACGTAATATTTACATGATTTACTCTGCTTTTACCTATCTTGCAGAATTTGGTATTTCTGGCCAAGGAATTTTAATTATGGACTGGCAGTAAACTAGCACCTGGGTGGGACATGGGGTGATTCCAAGATGGCCCCATGCAGCATTCAGTTCCAAACAGATGGTATTCTGCTTTCATGCTCTGGAGTGATCCAGGGACTTGATAACAAAGGATTTGTGAGAAACCAATGAGGAGCTGTATGATCAGCCTCCAGCTATCTGCATTATGGCTTCCCTTGAAACCAGGAAGCGCAACAGAACTTCAAAGAACCCAGCTTGGATGGTTTGTTCTCAGGATGCATCTTCACCTGCTCCAACTTTTGTTTTCCCAGCTATACAGGGGAGCTGAACTTCCGTCCCCCAGGGGAAACGTGGAGGAAGAGTGAGGAAGAGTAGGTGTAGGTGGTCAGTCTTGCCACATACTTTATTTCAGGCATGGAATACCACTTTTAAATCAGTTGCCTGTGGAATCACCTGGATCTGTTTTCAAGAGTAGCAGACTTTCCCCTGCCCTCCCCATATTTCAAACCTGCCACTTTGGAACCTCCAAAAAGTAGGTGTTTCAGCAAATCTTACCTTCCCATGAATTTTGGACTCAGCATGAAGCTGTGAGCATGGCTGAGTATGCTATGCTCCTACATGAAGGTGACACAAAGTTATTCAAACCCCAAGCTTAAGAAGAAAATGGCCAGAAAGGGCAGCTTATGACTACAGTGGTAGTGAGGAAGATGCCACACCTGGAAGAGGGGAGGGGCTGCCAGGGAGCCTCCGCTTCTTGAAATAGTGGACCTTCAAATCAGCCTGCCAACAGCCCGGGAGCAGGTAGGACAGGCAATACTGTTTCAGATGGCCCTTTCTCTGTGATTTGAAGTCTCTCTTTCTCCTGAGAGAGCCTGGAACTTTCCCACCACTGTAGCTGCTGCCTCCACCCATCAAGAGCTCACTTTGTTACCCACACTGCCTCAGCACCATGCTACTCAGGCCAAGCTCTTTCCCAGGGAAATCCTGACCCCGAATGGTGAGTGATGCCATCACCTCCCCAGATGGCCGGGCACAGGGAGCGTAGAAGAGGCAGTGGCAGAGAAACAAGGGCAGGGCCAGTGGGCTCCCTCCTGGGGAGGTCGCAAGTGGACAGACTGCTGGGACCAAGGGAGAGGTGGCACCTGCTGGGGCATCAGAAGAGCCGTGTGTGAACAGACCAGGAACTGCACACGAGTGGAAAGAGAGAAAGGCGATCACACAGGCAAAGGCGAAATGGCAATTCAGGTGGTTCTATGCATGGACAAAAGGCAGAGTGGTTCCTCGGAAATGAAAGTGAAGCAATGTAAATGGCTGCAGGATTAGGGACCACGCCACTGAAGTCCCTTTGGTTAGAAGGCAGAATCCAGGGTGAAGAGGGCAGGAAAACCAGGGGCTGCTGTCACGCCCTCTCTCCACGCCTGCAAGTGGCTCTGCCCAGCATCCAGGCCGGGGTGGGGGAAACGGGCAGGCTCTCCAGCTGCATGCTCCTTCGGCAGAAGCTGCAGGGCTCCCCTCCAGTCCCCTTAATCCAACCTCGGTTCACGCCCCACATTCCCCGTATGCAAGCTCTGCCCCCACCCTATCCCAAAGTGGGGAGGGCTCACTTAGGACCAGATCAATGACTTCTTTTAATAATGAAAGAACGGCTGATAAGGGGAAGCCCAGCATGTCCCACTTGTGCGTGTCCCAGCTCCTTGCAGAGGCGGCCCCGTCCCTCTTGCGCTTCTCCCCCAGCTCGCTGGTTGTCAGAGGCAGAGGGCCAAAGATGGGGAGCAGAAGGGCAGCTGAAGGAGCGTTGATCAGCAGCAGTGGAGGAGGGGAGGGGTCCCAGATATCTTCATCCGACCTGCCAAAACATGCACCTAAGGGGTGTCAGGTGAGCACAGGAGCTGCAGGCGAGTTATCAACTCTTGTCGGAACCACAGTCTCTGTGCAGCGCACTCTTCTTCATGCTCTCCAAGTACTCCTGTTGCGATACTGCCAGCACCGAGGCCAAAATCTCGTCGTCATCCCAGTCACTCAAGCCTGGCAGAGGAGATAAGAGGCCGAAGCTGTCACTGATGCAGCTGTGGGCTTCTCTCGAAAGCCGCAGCTCTGCCAAGGTGGCCAGACCCACGCCCAGCATCAGGCTGATGGGAGTTGGAGTCCACAGACAGCTGGAGGGTCACAGCTTGCTCTGCACGCTCCCATCAGCCACTCCCCTTCCTCTCTACTCTACAAGCCCTTCCTGAACTCCAGCCCACTGTGCTTGGTTCCCCTGGCACGGCAGGCCCCTGCCCTGCCCAGCCTGCCCCGCCACGGTGCCCTGTGCTCCAACTGGGCTGCGAGGCTCACCTGCTACTAGACCCCCATGAAAAAGGCTGAGACAAGGGATTATTCAGAGGTAGACTTCCCAGTGGAAAGCACCAAGCATTCGGTGTATGCCGGAATGTGCAGGTTTTGGAATCTGGCACCCAACCCAGTTCAGAGAAAAATCCAATCTCTCCACCAGCCTTCACAGTCGGGAATTTGAAGCATGCAGTTGGGAATTCGGTGTCAGAATTCCACATAATTTAAGGAGCAAATTTAGAATGAAAACTCCTCTCTGTTCTGCTACAGGGCCCTATTATTCATGATTGGTGCTTACAATGCTTCCTTTCATTTCCGCCTCCTCCTCATATCCATAGCCTGAGCAAAAGATGAATTAGGCCAGGCTTCTCCAACCAGATGTTCTAGACTACAGCCCCCATTATCCCTGATTATTGGCCATGCCCCCTGGGCCTGATGTGAATTGTCCAAAACATATGTATGGCACCAACTGGTGATGTATATTAGGCTACAAGGGGTTATAATTAGTCTCTTTCAAATAAAGAAATTGACCCCCGCTCAAGAGATCATGCAAACTATGGTGGAAATCTGCTGCAATCATGCCACATTACATAAAAGCATGCCATCAAGGGTAGAACCCAGGTGCTTGAGCAGAATCTCAAGAACTCCAGCTTCAAATTTAAAAAGCAAGTTTCTAGTCCACCTCACTAGATGAAAACAATGACAGGCAACAAGTGGCTTATTGGAGACTAGATACTGAATCCAGGACTCTGGTTTTAGTACAGAAGTGCCTGAAAAGCTGGCTCTGGCATTTGACTGGCTGGCAGGCCAGAAGCAGCTCTGCACGGCTCTTCTCATGTCCTGGCTCTTGGCACAAAGGACGGCATTTACCAAATGCTGTGGGTGACATCTGTTGCATTATTGCCCGGCACTCCAGGGCTGGATACAACGACACTAAGGGAGGGGTTGCTTGGCCACCACTTGCAGAAAGCTGGCTGCTTGTACCTGTGCAGAGGTGGAAATGGAAAGGGAAAGGTTTGTTATGTCAGGATCTGTTCAGGCGGATTCACACTGCAGGGCTCAGGACCTGGAATCCATCCCAGGAGGCTCATGAGCTTAAGTTGCCTCAGCGAAAAATGCTTTTTGGGTTGTTTTGGTAGCTGAACGATACTGGGAACTGACCCTTGGGAGAGCTGCCTCCCTCTCAAATGCAATTTTCAGAATGTCCCTTGGTAGGAACTAAAGACAGATAAAGTGCAGAGTCTGCCAGGGTGCAACCCTTGGAAGTTCTGGCATGAATTCAACCTCCTGTGAATCTCTGCAATAAACAATGTGAGGAGTCACCCTAGTTCAGTGGTGCTGAGCCTCTTCCAGCCCACAGCTGAATTTGGGATTTTGGAGCAGCTCCTGGGCTGCATTCCAGTGCTCGGCTGGGCCAAAGGCAAGAGGATTGGTGCCGAAGCGACACCACCACACACTAGATGGCCAGAGAAAAAGCAGGAATTGCTTGGTAATTTGGAGAAGGGGGTGTGGCCATCTGGGGAATGCCTAGGCTGTGACCGTGGCCTAGGGTCTGGCCTAGGCAGTTCACGTGGGCTACCAGAAGGGTCACAGAGACTCCCAGGCTGCTTGCGTTTGCTATCCTGAAAGGAGGTGCATGTTGGGCCTGCCCAGCCACCCCCCCCCACCACATGTGGTGTTCTTCCCCGCTCATCACTCACCAGGAGCACATGGCGAGGGGGGCTTTGTGAGGGCCAGGGCTGCGGTGTTGCCAGGGGAAGGCGGCTTGGCCACATTCAGCTCATTGTGCAGGTCCGGGTGCTCCGGGGAAGACGCTGAGCTGCGCTGACGGGGAGAGCGGCCACTCCATTCTTCCAATCCACTTGCGGCAGCCGCTGTGGCCGAGCTGCAGGTAGCACTGGCTTTGCGGGGCTGTGGGGAGAAGGAAGTGGGGATGCTGTGGCTTTGGGCCTCTGGCTGAGCTTCCTGCTTCCTCTGAGCCAGTCCAAAGCTGGGGCCCCTTCCGGCTGTGGGGGTGGGTGAGGCCTACCACACCAGCCCCTAGGGACCACCCCCCCACAGACATCCTGATGGCCCGCATTCCCCGGAGACATGCAAAGAAGCCAGCCAAACCTGCCGGGCCTGCTTTTCCTGATCGCGCAGCCACTGCAGATAAGACTCCCTGGCAACCTGCTCCTCAATGGCCTCGTTGGTGGCTTCCCAGTCAGTTGCTCGCTTCTTATCCTCCAGCATCTGCTGCTCGATCCACGACTCCTCTGACGTCTTGATGGCATTCTTCATCAAAGACTGCTCTGCATACTGCAAAGAGCAGGGGAGGCTCAGAATGCCCACGGGACCCCAGGTCCAGCCGAGCCCTGCAGTCCACTTCCTGTTGCTCCAGTAGCAAAGGGAGAGGCTGGCTGGCTGGCTGGCTGGCTGGCATGGCCTGCCATTCTTGAGCATGACACAATTGTGATGTAGAAGCTGGGGTAGAATGAGAACTGCCTGCGCCTACATTCACTTTTCCCCAAGCATTGAGGAAGGAAGGAGATGAATTTGTCATAAATGTTGCTGTGGCAGCTCTGGACAAATGGCATGTTTGCTTCCTCCAGGGAGAAACCAGGTGATGGTTTCCTCGCGGCCAGTGGATGTGTGACTCTGGCCTCTTCAGAATGGCTTGGAAGCAGTGGGCCCCCCTCCCCGCAGCTGCTCTTCTCCACAAGCTTCCTTGCCCTGTTCTGCCAGGACTGCTAGACAGCAGACCAGTGGTCCGGACAGACCACAAGCTTGCAGCTGCCTGGAGGGGCAACTTTCTGATGTCATAAATATCTAAAGGAACTCCTCCTCCCATGTGTGTCTATCACAACCTGAGGTCATTGTCTGAGGTCCTTCTCAGAGAACTCCCTCTTAAGGAAATAAAAGGGGTAGCAATTCGGGGAAGGGCCTTTTCAGCTGTGGCATACCAACTGTCAAATCAGCTTCTCAAAGAGGTGCACCTGTACGTACTCTGTGTTCTTTTCAGTGCCAGGCAAAAATCTTTTCATTTACCCAACATTAATAGTTATATAAATTTCAATTTTTAACCCAATTTTTACTCTGTTTATGCTGTATTTAATGTTCTGCTGTTGTAACTTTGGACTAGCTTGAATGCAGTTGCTGTAGGCCTATTGCTGTTTGTATATTACATATATTTGAATTTAATATTACTGATTCTGCTATCTGGTATTTTATTTTTTGCTGTTGATTATTGACTCTGAGCTGCTCAGAGAGCTGTTTGGAGTTTATGAGCAGAATAGAAATGAATTAAATAAGACTGAACTGGTCAACGATGCCCTTCCTCTAGCACAGGGCTGCAGATTTCCTTTGTGCCAGAGGGCTGAATGCCATTTCAGAGAAGTCCGGGGTGGCCAAAATACTGACGTCTTGTAGCTTAAAGCACAAGAACCAGGTCCGAGGAGAGGCATTCCCAATTTTTTAGAATGGGAGAAACATGTACCCACAAACCCAGGAAGCCACCCAAGGATTGGTGGTGGTGGGGAAAGGAGGCAGGGCTGGATTTAGCCCCCGGGCCTGTGGTTCTGCACCCCTCTGTGCATACACAGTAGGCCACATCATCAGGCATGCTCCTGAGTAAGTCCCTTCTCTCTCCACTCTGTCTTCACCATCAGACTTCCCGCGCCATCTATCAACCTGCCAGCTCCCAGCACACTCCTCACCTCTGCTGTCCTTTCCACTTTTACCCATGAGGCGGCAAGCGGACGCTGCTCTAGCCCACGGAGGCTCTTCATCCGGTCTGCAGAGCCTGAGTCTCCCGCTGTGCCCCTTGCCACTCTGCTTCACCAAGCCCCACCCTGGGAGGTTTCCAGAGGCCTAGGGAGGAGGTGGGGAGGGGACTTCCCATGGTCTCTCTCAAGCCATGAGGCAACAATGGCCAATATGCCTTCTGCCAGGAAGGCTTTGGCATGCACATGGTTCTCTTGGTGGGAAAGCCCATGTGATGTGAAGCTAAGCTGGCTCAGTTTCACCCACCCCACATTTCCCCCAGGGGGAGAAGGCATAGGGCAGGCATACCTTCAGCTGGGGCGGCCTTGTTACATGCAAATCTTTCTCGGTGAGGGAAGCCTGGACACAGCAAAGCAAGGTCCTTAGCCAAAGCGCTGAATAGATGATCCACCCCAACCCTTGCCTGGGGGCCAGATTACACTGTGGGGTGCCCTCCTGTACACGCAGATGCCCCGGTGTCCTTTGGTCCATAGAGGGCTGGGTGAGGGGGCCACCCGACCCTCCACCCCAAACTACTTCTCCACTCCTGTTGGAAGGGCTTCTGCAAGGAGTCAGGCTGGGAAGGGCTACTGGTCCCCTGACCTCCTGCTCGGGTTAAAAAGCTCCCCCAGTCCCCAGACCCTGCCCAGGAAAGACTCACCCCTGGCTTGAAGGAGGGCAGCCCCAGTCCCACTCCAATGGTCGCCTTGTTAGGGTTCACCACCGAGTTGTAATGGATGTTGCGATGATAGCTCACCCGGATGGGTTCATCCTCATTCTGATGGATGCCGTGGAAAGTGTTGATGGGCTCTGGAAGGAATGGGGGGCAGCTCAGAAAGATGCATGGCAGAAACTCAACTCCCCTCCGGCCCAAGCATTCTGAGGCTGGGGCAGATGAGATGCTGATACCTGCAAGCACCACGGGCAGAAGCTGTATATACCTGTGCCATATTGGTAAACCTCCACAGGTCGATTGTACATCTCTGCCATGGCCTGCATCTCAATGTGGTTGCCATGACAGTTGCTTTTCCGCTTCCGGTTGATGTACGTGGTGAAATCTTCTGTCACGTAATTGGAGAAATAATCAGCATTCTTCATCTGCAAAGTGGATGGGCCTCAAGATTAGAGGGCAAAGGAAGGCTCCCTGTACGGAGCTAAAGAGCAGCATGGCAAAATGGAAGAGTGATTTCAGAGAACCCATGAAAAAGCACCCTGAGCTTTGCTTAGAGGCATTTTGCTTTGGGCAGCTTCTGTAAACCTGGAGTGACATTATTCAACTGCATGGGGTAATTTGGGGCAACAGTTAAATGGCCACAGCCACGTAACTGGGCCACCCAACAGTAGCCCAGCCAAAAGAGAGCCGCTCAGGGAAAAAGGCCACCCTCAAATAGCTGGTATAATGCAGAAACATTCCCTCAGTGCTAATGTGACCTTAGGTCAGAGTTGGCCAAATTGCTCTCAAGCCCTTTCCAGATGTGTCCCCAATCTGCACTTCTGAAAAGTGATTCTTTATGAGGGGGATTCACCCATGATTTCTAATGTTTTCTTTCCATCTCAGATCTGGGCATTAGGAGGGGAGACAAGGGCAGGAGAGAGCTGGTGCATGTGTGCACACGTGAGCAGGGCAGAGTGGAAGTAGCGGGACTTCAAGCAGGAGCACAAAAGATTAGGTGATTCCTAGGCAGGGAGGACATGCCTGTTGCTCAGCAGAAACTGCTGGAGAATGGCAGTGGCCACGAATTTGTCAGATGAGACCCGGCTCTTTATGGGCTGCCTCTATTACCAGAACATGGAATCCCTGGAAATGGCCATCCTGAATGCCAGGCAGGGCTGGGAGCCCAGCCTCACTCACCAGGTAGTCCATACAGTGTTTCCTGACCACTTCATGCATATCTTGGTCGCCATATACCTGGTCAGCTAAAAAGAGGAACCAGAAGATCATCATCAGTGCAGCATAATGATTGCTTGGGGGAAAGAAAAGATGGAGGCAGAAGCACTCTCTCCATCCCGGGAGAGAAGTAAAGTGATCAAATGAAAATAGTATCTGCAGCCAAGTTAGGCCTCAGATCAGCTTCGTAATGATCCCAATAAAACTAAGATGGTCATCTTAGTCCCATTGTTTCCCATGAACCTCCAAGGCAGGCAGGCAGGCAAGCTGGCTTACCTTTCCTATTCTGTGCAAGATGCACTCGGGTGAGTTTCCGCCACAGTACAATGGAATGAGCAGAAGTCATGAGGATGACGTAGAAGATCCCAGTCTTCCCCCACACCACACCTCCAGCCCCAAACCGAACACCACCATTCAATGTTTGGTTTCCAAGCCTCAAATACTGACTTGGAAACAAGTAACACTTGTCCCATGTGTCACCCTGAACAAGCTCATTGGTCAGGTATTTGGGGTGAGGAAAGGAAATGTTCCTCCCAGGACAGACTGCTTAGCAGCTGGGCAGAGGGCTTGCCAATACACTGTGCAGATTTGCTCTGTCAGTCTTCTCCAACACATCTACTTTCTTGCTAGCAATGTACTGTTGCCTGAACTACAGGCATCAGATAGTTTGCCGCAAAATGCATGTATTCCATCCAAAATACCTTTTAACACTAATTCACCCAAAGCAGCTTAAAGGCTAGAAACGAAGTTGGTCAGTTTGGAGTTCACAGGCTTTTTTGCTTTCTTGCTTTCGTATTTGGTGCCGTTTCTGCATCTAGAGCTGCCCTCTTAACCCACATATTTCTGTCAGCTTTTCACAAACTGGTCAACAACTTTTAGTTGAGTAATCTAACCATCAAAACTTGAGAGTTGTCCTTCTGTTATATGTCAGCTCAGCCACAACAAGGCAGTAAATGAAACCGACCAGAGCTGCAGTGAAACAGACAGATGGGCTGAAAAGCAGGATTTTGAGACTTTGCAGCTGTGCAACTATTTACAGGACAAAGTAGGGGAAAAGCAACTTGATGCCAGTTTGGGGAGAAGTGCAACATGTTGGAGCAGCCCCAAGCATTACTGGGGAGCAGATCACCTGGAAGGCAAACTGACCAAGGATGGTCACAGCCTAGCATAAATTACAGAAGAGCACCAGAAGTCCTTCCTAGCCCAGCCCACTTAAAGGATTTCTTCTCCTAAATCCTGCTGTAGCCAACTCAGGAGGAGTAGGATTTAATCTACAGTAATCTAATCCTGTGGTCTTTCCTAGTGAGGCGCCTTCTAGATGGTTTAAACTTCAGCTCCTGTCAGCCTCAACCAGCATAGCAAATGGTCAGGAATGCTGGGAGCTGCAGCCTAAACTATTTGGAGGACCCCAGGCTGAGGGAAGGCTGCTTTTACCACATTCATTCAGATTCCTTGAGTTGAGTGACAGTTCTCATTAAGGTGCCACAAGCTGAAATTGGTTAATGCATATGTACAGCTTGGCCCAAGCTTATTTATGACTTGGGGAAATCAGATAAAAAGAAACAGGGAAGGGGGTTAACAGGGAGGAGGCATTCCAGGGCCAAGGTGTTACCTTGGTAGCTACAACTCACAAGGTAGTTATGGGGTGGGGTGAGATATGGACAGGAAAGAGAAGGGCCTTCTGTGCTGGGAAAGGGCTGGGACGAGTTAAAGTTTCGGAAGCAGCTGAAGAGACAGTTGTGCAAGAGGTGACAAAGTTAATGAGAAAGCCAGTGTACAACTGAAGCAGTTTCTTGTTCAGCAGATTCTGATTACATCCAGGGAATCGGTGCATGGAGCTCACTGACAAGGGTGTTCAAATGACTCCACTGACCTCTTCTCCTGCAACTGCCAACACTACAGGCTTAAGGTCCATCCAAACTAATATGGGCCACCCAGGGGTGCTTGTCAGCAGCCCCCACCCTGAGCTGGTATTTCGGGCAGTGGCTGCAGGGAATGAGGAATGAAGCCCAAGAGCGCTGCTTCCTGAAAGTAACTGGAGCAGCGGAGGAATGCCTGATAGGAAAGGAGAATGCAGGCCTGTGACAGTCATGCGGGTTCACTGTCATGTAAGGGGAAAGGTGGCCAGGCAAGGTGCACTATGGACAGGCATGGAAGCAAGTGAACCAAGAGCGCCCAGCCTTCCAGATGTGGCATTGATGGGAATGGTGCCCCAACACTTTTGGAAGACGACAGGTCAGGAAAGGTGCTGGAGCCAAACTCCTGTCAACCCTTTCCTCAAATGTGTAGTAGTAGCAGGGAAGGGAGGAAGGGCACCTAGAGCAAACATTTGGTTAGTGGAGGGGTGGCAAGAGGGAGAGCTTGGCTTATTACAACTCTCTGTTCAGTGGGGCCTGCTGATAAAAGCTGCAAACCAGGGCACAGATAGCAGGGCAGGGTGAGGGGAGCAAAGTTCCTGTGCTGAAAAGTAACAAAAGCTTTGTACAATCAAGAGCCTCAGAACTGGCTTCCTCCTGCTTCTCAAACGTAAGCAACTCCCTCAGGCTCCTGTTTCTCTTCTCTGCCCAAACCTTTGCAGGGGTACTTATTCCATCTTTTCTCTTGGGCTACCTCCCAGGCCTGTTTCCCCGTCCCATTTCAAGCTGGACCTCTCCCATTCCCTTCGTTGCACCTTCTCTGTCCCTCCGTAGCTTGACTACAAGCACCGCCACTTGGGCCTTAAGAGCCAGAAGGGATCCCCTGCACACGGACAGCAGGACTGCTCCCTGCTGGGCCACCCAGGAGCCACAAAGGGTTCACAAGAAGCCACTGGAAATGCAGAGCAGCACTCTGGCCTAGCGACTGGGCCGAAGGGATGCTACTGATGAGAGGCTCCTATTTGTCTCACTGGAGGGACCAGCCCAAAATATTTTGGTGCCAGAGACAACCACCCACCACTGCCTCAGGGCAGCCTTGGTGCCTGGCAGATATATAAGACTACTGGGTTGGGGAAGGCAGAGGCGCAGCCAGGAGAGCTCACCAATGGATCAAAGGAGTGTCTACACACATGCACCCAGAAGGTTAAACCCTCCCCAAATTTGTAACCTGCTGCAAAGGCTGCTTTACCTTACCTCGTTAAGTGGGCCATTTCAGAAACTAGGATGGAAACAAAGCAATTCAAAAGGGACCTCCCAGGCCATCTAATCTGACCCCTGGCTCCAGCCAGCTCCATTCATGTAATACCCAGCATGTGCTTGTCCAGTCTTTCCTTAACACCCTCATTGATGGTCCCCCACCTCCCATGGAAGCCCATTCCATATTCTAGGGGGTCCTAACCGTCAGGAAGTACTTCCTGGCATCTAACCTGAAATCCAGTTCTTTGAGCTTTGCCCCATTGGACTGTGTCCTTTCCTCCACCACAGGGAAAAACAGGTCATGATCCTCAACCATGTGACAACCCTTCACATACCTACATGGTGCTATAAGATTCCCTCTGAGTCTCTTCTCTCTGATGAAAAGACCCAGCTCCCTCAATCTCATCTCATAGATCATCCCTCCCAATCTGACTACCATTCTTGTGACCCTGCACTGAACTGATTCTGACCTAGCTAGGTCTCTCTTATAATGTGTACCCAACACAGTACTCCAGTTGTGGGAGCACCGGAGTCTTATAGAGCAGTACCAGTACCTCTCTTGATCTGTACTGCATCTTCCTAGCTCAGAGGAATATGCATAATGACAAAACCTTGCACAGTGCCAAAAGAAGGGCTGTGCCTCCCTCAGGCCAGTCTAGACATGAAATCAGCAGGACAGAGAGGAAAGGCTGCTTGCCTTGGCAGTCTGTGCATGCCCAGGTGAGAGGAAGCAGAATGATGAAATAAGAATAAAGGTGACATCAGCACAGGGATGTTACTGTGCTACTCAATCCACAAACCATTTCTGATTGGATTGTCAGCTACAGCCTGCACTGGACTGGGACTGGCAGCCTCAAGACTGGGTTACCGCACTGCACTGTACGTGGGACTATCCTTAAGGCTGTTCCGCAAACCAGAGTAATTGGCTGTTCTCAGGAGCTGCTTCTTTTCAGTATGCAACCCCTTTGCTAAAGGAACCACACTGGCTACCAATTCACAAAGGGGCCAGGGCTTGAGGTTTTGGTACTAGCGTACAAAGCCCTAAACAACTTGGGACCAGGATACCTGAGAAGGCCTTCTCCCTTACCAACCCACCTGGTCACTGTGGTCATTCTCCTGGTGGGCTCCATAGGGGCCTATCTTCTGACCAGAGCCCACCAGGCGAGCAGCTTCAGTGTGTTGGCAATCCCATTTCCTTGGGATTCCCTGCCTGGGGTAGTCAGGCAGGAACCAACACGCTGCTGTTTGATGTCTCCCAGGACAATCTTACTCCAGAAACCCTTTTCATGTTGACCAGCCAGTCTTGATGCCATTTCTCTTTTAAATGTTTAGTGTAGCAATTGGATGCGACTTCCCTCCAATAGTCAAGGAATGAGTAGACAGCCATAACTTGACCCTTCCCAATCGCAAGCCCTGATAGCAGCCCCATAGCTTTACTCATGAGACACCTGGTCTCAGTAGGTCACTACAGGAGTCTCCCGCAAAGTGCCCCTGTGCTAATTCCATGCCCAAAGTGGTGGCAACAAAGTGAGGCAAGAGGAGGCGATGTGGCTCAACAACCCTTTTGGCGGGCTCTGCAGTGTATCATGGGAGCAGATGACTCATTTCTAAACTTCTATGTAAACAAGGATGTGGTTTCTGGTATGGGGAACTTGAGAAGACCATTCCAGCAAGTCACGTGGGGTATACGCTTTTTACTGAAACCTAGGTTGTGGTTATCACTCTATATGCATTATGATACTGCTCCAGACACTTCATGCTAGTGAGCTCCATGCAGGTGACATGCACACGGAAGGCACAAACAGGAATCCTAGCCTGTACTGAATGCCCCTCTAAAACAGACTCCAGGCAGGACTGGAGCTGTCATTTAAACTTGGGACTGGAGATCCTATCAGGAAGTAGGATCCCCATTCTGT